TCTCTCAGCATGTATTTAAAGGACAGATAGGCATCCTGATAGTATCAAGAACATTTACTGAATATACTGCATGTATTTACTGAAACTTTTACTGTCAAGGAGAGCTTAATTCATATACATATGTGTGTATATATATCTGTGTGGTCCTACTTGCAAGCAATGTTTCTAACAGTAACTGCATTAACATTTTAAAACAGCAAAATGAAGTACGTATAGGCACTTGTAGTTTCTAGGTATGCTTCTGAAGAAACACAGGGCAAAAGTAGTGCTCATCAGTTGGGAATCGTTCTCAGCCTCTGTTAGCCACATCCTACATGGTTTTCATGAAAAAAGAGAAGGACATCCAGACATTAATACTGATGTAACAGTGTTGGGCTGTGATCCGAATTCCGTTTAAGTTAGGAGACTTTCCATTAAATTCAGTAGTCCAAGGATCAGGCCCTTAGAGTACTGCCTCATTAAAACATGGCCTTGCTTTGCTTTCAGGCACAGGGATGTTGTTAATGTTCCAACAGAAGTGGGGTTAGAAGAGCCAACAGTAACCAGACAGCAGCCACACGTTAGAAAGAGAATCAAACCCCATGTGTAGGTTTCAACAGATGGTGGTCACCCAGATACAAGGTGAGGCTTTCAAGTGCGACTTTTCAAAGTGGAAGCAAAATTACATCGCAAAGGAAGCTGTGGAGACGCCAGAATGGCATCACTAGGCTGTTGCTGTTTTCTCTGATGCTGCTAAGTTGAGCAGGATGTCTGTACCAAAAGTAATTTCTCAACTGTAGGAGTGGGTTGGATGTCTTGGGGTGAGGGAAATCCTAGTGTCACATTCCTCAAAGGATCCGACACCCGCCCTATGCCTGAATTCAGCCTGTGGTAAGAAGGACCGTTAGTCCCAGGGCAGTTCTGCTTAGAAAACAACAACACAACTGGATGAGCAATGCTTGACCCCTTAACCTAATTTAGTTCTTTAATTTGGCAATTATGCATAAGGAGTTGTGGCACATGATAGCAGAGTAGGTGGATGGGAAAGTTTGCTTTGCTCTAGTATTGGAAGGAAAAGCTTGAGTTTGGTTAAAACTGGGGGGAAGAACTTGATTCAGCATTTCCCATGCTTTGTCCAAAATGATAAACTCTCAACCCCTTCCCTGAAGAACATCACTTATCTGCATCATTACACTTTTCCTTGAAAGTAGAATCATTTTGTGGACCGAGGGTCATGCTCCAGTACTTTTAATTAATATAATTATATTCATTATCATCAGAGTTACAGTACTGTTAAATTTTTTTTCCCTTCCTTTCCCTATTTATCTTCCACCTTCGTTCTTGTTTGGTTGGGATTTCAAATGTTTTTCCCTCTTTTTCTTCGTGTTTCAGTAGAATGATAGATTCTTGTGGGAAAAAAAAAAAAAAAAAAAAAAAGAGGTGGTTTTGTGTTGTGGCTACAGGGCAGTCATACTTTTTCTGTAGGATTCCATTTCCTTGGCCTACCTACCTTGTCTTCACCTTCTGATGATTTTTTTTTCTAATATAGGCAACAGTATTAGCTGATGATGTTAGCTGGAGAGGGAGGTCTGTAAGAAACCCTACTCCTAGCCTATGGAGAACTTGAAAGATTTAGAATAAGGCTTTGACCTGAACTCCAGAACAAGTAAAGCCACTCCAAGAGCATAAAGGACTGTCAAGAAAAGCTGGTTTGTGATCCTAGGGTATATTCGCTGATGTATGTGTAGAATGCCACGTCCTACCATTAACTAAATATGATGTTCTGTCACCCTCTAATGGTGGGTCTGCACCGCCCTCCTGCTGCTATAGGTGATCCTGCAGGTCTAGTAGAGGACCTTCTCACATGTAGGAGATACTGAGCTTCAGTGTTTGGTGGCCTGTGTGTACAGATTTGCAATTTTAGTCTCCACTGTGTGTATCTGTAAATGAATTGTGTTCTATAAATTCGTGCCAAAAATGAGACATGTAAATGGTCTGCGTTGGTTTTGGACAGATTAATTAACTCAAGAGGAGGTTTTTAAAAATGATTTCTGTGCTTTTCTGCTTGGATAAGGCAAGAGAAAATTGGCTGAATTCCAACCTGCAACGTTAGGGAACATCCCTGTGCATTTGAAGCCCATGTTCGCTAATCTAATCCCTTCTTTCTTAATTCCTAGTTTTACCCATAATAGAAGTCCTTGTCTAAGGCTGGCTGATGCTGTACTGGTCAGGTGCAATGCCCATTTGAATCTCTGAAAGCAGTAACTGTGCCCGAAATGGTAGGGTGACCTACAGTATATTTCACAGGAAGACGGCAGAACAAAGCCAAAATATTTGGCGTCACCTATTCCATCAGCTTCAGCAATACTTATAAAGTCTGTGTTTCCGACCCAGCCTTAGAAAAAGCTGAAAGTGCAGCATGCTGGGGAATAGCATTTAATGGGTTCATCTATCAAGATTCCCGGTAACTGATAATACGGATGTGTTTTACACTGATATTGGACAATTTGGCTTCAGATCACATGTGGTTTAAAGCATCCTAAGTAACAGCAGTGTTGTGCTTTTCACTGGATCAGGAGGTAGTGCAACATATAGAAAGCTGATTGATAGCTTGAGACAACTGGAACGGTCCCTTTTGATCACTTTGTAGATGCTCTTCTCAGAGGTAAAGCAAGTGTTACTCATCTCTGGCCCGAGACTGTGCGATTTCTTTTAACATAATTTGGTATTTGAACTATTAAATTATACTAACTATCTGATATGTCTGTAATTTTATCACTGTGGGCCATGCATTCACCACTTATGTGTGAGCTCAGAATTACCCGATAATTAAATTGGTTCACTGTATCTTTGTTAAAGAGGTGTGTGGCAGCGTCTTTGTAGTCACAAATGAAATATAAGGATGTATCAGTATGTCACAAATAGTGCCGCAAGGGCTTTTTGATACCTCCTCGTCAGGAGGAATTGTTTAACTGATCTGCCCTTAGACACTTGAGGAGCAATTATCCCTGCTTGGACCAGACAGAGCCTGCCAGCTCCATCGCAGAAAGGCAAGCTGCTTTCAGGAGGGGGTCCTGTTCTCAGTAAAACTTCACATTTCTTGAGAAAGAACACAGCATCCACCTCCTTAATGTGCAAAGAGCCCAGGACACTCAAGAGAAGGGTCCTGACCGTGCTGCTAAACTAGGAAATCTTCTTCTGAATCTGAACTTTCGGCAAACCTGCCAGTCTGTGCTCCCATCCTCACGAGAGTGTCCTAAAAACACAACTGGGAAGAAAGGGGGGGGAATATTTCTCGTGTTGTCATGAACATTAGTGCAGTGTTCTAAAAATAATACCAAAAAAACTGGCAGATTTTGCACCTACTTTCAGGTTTTATCATTTACTGTCTGTGGGGTTTTTATGTCTGTATCTGAATCCTGCAAACGTGCCTATCGTATGTACTGCACGTGTGTGCACCCAGACGTGAGCAGAGCCAGGCAGATCCACAGAGGCAGCGATTTGCATTCATTTTATCATATTCATTTAGTTGTCCATAGTTTACTGGAGAAAACAAGGGGGTTTTGCTAATGGAGCTGCAGTTGTGCTTGGGGAAAATGAAGTGATCTTGCTCATCTTTATCATGGCATATAAGGAAGCAATTTCAGTAACGCGGGTGTCAGCAGATTGTTGGTGATGGTACATCCTTCAGAAGGAATACAAATAGACTTCACTGACCCTGGAGTGCTGAGAGTAACATGAAACTTACTCTGACTTGTAAACTGAGCAGACATGACATGGAGGTCACAGGATAAGGGCATATATGCATCTTTCAGCCCTTGTTTTGACAAAGTGACTTCTTTCTCCGGAGGGACATTTCTGCCATTTTTTTCCAGCATGTTTCACCTTTTACTGACTATTAATCCCAGTCTGACTTAACTGCAAATTATGGTTCCCACCTATAAGCTCATGGGAGTTAATTCTTGAATTTTTGTCATCATTTATTTGAGCACACAGGGTTAGCACTCAGAAGATGTAAGAAAATAAAGGAATGGAAAACAACAAATTGAGCTTAAATCAGATGTAACAAGCTATAAATATTAGACTGAAGAGTATTGTTAAAATTCACATTCATTAATGAAAAGGTTTTATTACTAGCAGCTTTAAGAAATCAGGGTAGACCATAATGGTTTTGAAAATCTGTGCATTTTCTAATATTCTATACAGTGTTCTTCCAGCTTCAGTAAGATAGCTTCCCTGTGTCTGATGCAGTCTAACATTTATATAGACATCAGTTTTAAACAGAGTTTTCAGAACTTCATGAACAGGATTAACAAAGGAAGTTTTGCTAAAAGTGAAGTTATTCAGAATATTCTTATTTTTGTGAATGCATGGCTCATGAAACATGTTTGATACAGGCATGGATAGCATCCCACTGCGAAATAAAGGTATTAACGCAGCAACTAGCATGTTTATTCAATGCAGCAGAACAGCTGTGGGTGGGGTTTAGCCTCTTCACCATGTGCTAACTGATGTAGCACTATTAGCAGTTATCAACGTGTACAGTAAAGGACACTGGAATTCTTATCCCTGGTTTGCAGATGGGAAAACGAGGCATGTCAAAGATCACTGCAGACTTTTGCTGGAACACACCCTCCTGAACCTTTGTGCCGTTAGGCCATCAAGTTTGAGGACAACAGTAGCGGCTGCTTATGTGAATAGACGTGACAGGCTTGGTTGTCTTTGCTGTGTAGGTTATTGGCTCAGTGATGCCAGTTCCAAGTTTGGACAAAGCGAAATGTCAGGCTAGACCAGGAAGCAGAGGAGCTAACTTCTTGTTTCACAATGTTGAAGAGAAAAGCTAAGGTAAAAGGGATTAATTCTTTTTCTAGTGTAATAACCAAACTCCATTTCAAGGACAATTTGATGGTCCAGAGAGGCATTTTCCCATGGTGTGACTCTTAAACAGTCTTCAGGGGGTAGAACAGCAGCATTTTATAGCTTCTAAGTATAATCTGGTTTTTGTTTTTCTCAACAGAGCTACAGTGAACCTGTTGACGTTAAAGCCTCCCCACAACCCCAGATGATGAATTCAAAGCAGTCGGTGTTTCATGGGCCCGCCCAGGCTCACTCTGCACTGTACCTCAGTTCCCACTACCACCAACAACCGGGAATGAATCCTCACATCACTGCCATGCATGCCAATATCCCCAGGAACATCGCGCCCAAGCCCAACAGCCAAATGCCAGTGACTGTTTCCATAGCCAACATGGCTGTGTCCCCGCCGCCGCCTCTTCAGATCAGCCCCCCTCTGCACCAGCATCTCAACATCCAGCAACACCAGCCAATTTCAATGCAGCAGTCCATTGGAAACCAGTTACCGATGCAGGTCCAGTCTGCTTTACATTCACCTACAATGCAGCAAGTAAGTTTGAGCTTTTCAGTTGTCTGGGGAATTTTTTTGGGGGAGTGGGGGGAAGTCATCCAGAAGTTAACATAGTGAGGGAGATTTAGAACTATGGATTATCTTTAATTGTGCAGAGTTCCAAAACCGCAGTGGTATTGTCTGAGGGCTTAGTCTTTCAGAGGCAAGAACAAGAGAATGACTTTACCTGCATGATGGGGAGCTTCAGCAGAACTGTTTGTGCTAGCGCCGGTGTTCATCCCATTCTTCTGGAAGCAACACAGGTTGTGTTAAACATGCTAGATGAAGTGGACATGAGTGTGTCAGTTTATGCTGCATTCATAACTTCATTTTGCTAGATGTACTCTTTTTTTTTTTACTAGAAATAAGTGGGCTGTCCCCCGTATCCCAGTGTGGTGGCTTTTTTTTTATTTTATTCTCAGTTTTTTAGGTAGTTGATTCTCAATCCAGTTCCTAGATCTGAATGAATGCAGGACAACCATGGTATTGCGAATTTGAGCCCAGGCCTACGGAGGGTTAGAGCAGATTAACTGCCGATTTCGTGAGAGAAAACTTCCTTTTATGTCGGATGAGATGTGACTATCAATAATAAGATCTTGCTTTGCAAAGAGGGAATAGAATGAAACTTTTTTTGGATGGACTTGCAAGAATCTACAAAATTTGCATACACAAAACTTGTCAGTTCTGGTTGTTAATACATAGTCGTGAACTCGCCGCATGTTTTGAATATCTCTATAAATTCACCTTTGCTAACAAGGCATTTGCATTTGCTTTCCAAGCTGGAAACATTTCATCTCAAGATTGGTCTGTAGAGATGGGAATACCTGAACACAAAACATTGCTTGTAGCTGGGAGATCAATTTGACAGGGAAAGACATTTTCCAAAGCAGGAGGAAAAAGAAAAAGAAAAAAAAAAAAGAACAAAAGAGTCAAAAGCAATCCGGACTGATAAATTTAGTTGTTCAGAAGGTAAACCAAGGTGTGCTCGGGATGGTCTGGATTTTTTCAGAGACTGATCATAGTCTCAAGAGTGATTTGGAGTAATAAGACAAGAAAGAAAATCTGTAAAGTGTTTACAAACTTTTCCTAGTCCAGTTTATTTTTCATGACCAGAGTAAACAAACTCAACAGGCTTATGACCACACAAATTTGCTGCCATATATTCCTGAAGGTTTTCCTGTTGGTTAGAAACCCAGTGTCCTGGTGTGAGTGTCCTGGGAGAGCCCATGCTCAAGTCTCAGAGAAACTCAGGAGTTAACCCCAAGCCTGGGCAGCTAGAATTAGCTGGGGGAAATCCTGGACAGTGAGCCAGGAGGGTCTGTCTGGAGATGCTAAGCCTGATGCAATCCTGGTTGAACCTGAAGGCTCAGAGCAAGGAGACAAAGCAATGGACAGAGGCCCAATGCAATACCCTGGTTCATTTACCAGACAAGAAGAACGACGTCTGTGACAGCAGCCGGTTGAGATTATATAGTTATATTTCAGCGAGTTTTTATTGCAAAGTGATTCAGTTTTCTAAGATCAAATTGTTTGCCAAGTTCAGTGTCACTGGTACATTACTTGTCCAATGCAGAGCTAGAGAAGATCAAACCCCTTATGTCTTTTCCAGAATCATTATTAGGCATAATTTACTGAACAGATTTGAAAATCTGGCTTTATTTATTGAATTAATAGTACGGTAGGGGCTAGCAAAAGATGTAATGCAGATGTTGGGTACTTACATAAGTTTACATGCAACATCGTCATTATTGTATGAATCCCAGCACTTGGGCATTATTCCAAACCATAACATACTACAAAAAAGGTAAGATAATGTGAATATTCTGATGTTTTATTTTATCGAGGTGCACACTCGTGGGATATGGTGTGCATGTCAATGGCTTGAGAGTACTTTCACTCACCTGTGAGATGTGTAGTTGAGTTATTTCTAGCTTAAGAGAGAACAGAAGACACTAGGTTGTAGAAAACACGTCTCTAGAAGTCAGTACGTAGACCTGTACCATGGGGAGTCTTCTGCTTTACTAAGTACAAGTACTGAGTGAAGTAAAAAACGCTGCACGTCTGTGTTCCTGCTCGCCATTGTTAACCTCATGGAAGGTTAGGTTAAATACTTTTTACCAACTCATATTCCTTAGTCAGAAAGGCAGATACTTATAATGAAGATCCTATGGTGAGATATTTGTGAGCTTCACTTGGTGTGACAGGTGCTCACTACCATCGAAATGCTACACTGCCAATCTTAACTACATTTCTGTTTAAGCACTGCAGAACATCTGCAAGCCAGTTCATATTTCTTACACTTCTGCTTTTGGTTCAAACTTTTGAGCTCTGGAAAATCTATGTAATTTCTCTTTGGAACATTTGTAATTTTTTTTTAATTTTTTTTTTTTTTTTGGCCTACAGCAGTTTACAGAGTTTGTGAATTGAGACTAAATATAGAATCCATTTCTTTTAAAGAGTGATGTTGGCAAAGACAAAGCAAGAAGTATGTTAAATATTAGGGCAACAGGTGTACTAAAGTGTTGAAGTTTTACTTTGTTAAAGTTTGTTTTTCTTCCATCCACTTTTGACACACTGGAAGAATCACAGTAGATTAGAAGAGTGTGATTTTTCTTTCGTGACAGGCTCATGTGAGCATCTTATCACTGTATTATTTTTTAACTGAATCAGATTTGCTTCTCTCCGGTCTCTTAGGTTTGACGGGATGTTTAATTTTCACTTTAGTTGGAATCAGATGATCTGAATCTTAACCCTGGTCATTTAAATCAGCATGATTTCTCCAAAGTTTGGGCTAAAACGGCATCTGAAGCTGCAACCTGTTTTCCCTTGCGAAGTTGTTCTGTCCTTTCTCTACTCACACAGACATTAGGGCTTCTTTCTGAGCATACCCCGCTCCCCAGCCTGTTGTACTCTGCTGGTTTGTGTGGAAATACCAAGGATTCACTCCCTCCCAAACATGCCCAGTGCTTGTTAAGGAACCCGTTTAAGGAGCCCTGCTGGAAGCATCTCCTTCTCTGCTCAGAATCCTTCACTCAAGCAATGGGTGGGCAGTGAGCCCCATGACAATCTCCATCCCACTTAGGTTCGCAGGTAGAGCAAGCAAAGCTAGGTTCTTAACATCTAGCATCCACGGCTGCAGTTGCATGCATAACAAAGAAGCAGAAGATTAATGTATGTCACGTTTTGGTTTTTGAAATAGTAACTCGTTTCAGTCTACTTTTACGTATTTCTTTCCTTTGGAAAATAAATGTATACAGCAAGATGATTGCATAGCCTGCCAAAAATAATAGCCTCATTTTTTCTGGTATATATTATATACAGTAAACTCAGGGACCTGCTGTATTTGTCCAGATTTCTTCCTCTTTTTTGTTAAGCTTTGTCTTCGAATGAGGTCAAGAGAAAAAAAAAATCATTAATATCTGTCAACTTCCTTTATAACCTTAAGGAAAAATCTTTGTATGATATCACACAGACAGATTTTCAATTTCCTTGTGTAATAAACAGATGCTTTAGGATTTGGATGTAATTTAAAGGTTTAAAATATCACATTGAGATTGATGAATAAATCAGTTGTGAAGACAAAAACATTGATGCCTGTTGAAAATACCTCTCCAGACAGGCAGGAAATGAAATTAGTTCCCAGTAAAGTGTGGAGATGAGGATCACTGTTTAGTTCTGCTGCAGGCTTTTTAGGACTTGCTACAGTGGCACAACGAAACTGCTAGGGCTACAGAAATCTAATTAAAGAGCAAATGTCCCTCCTGACATCGAATTAATCTTTATCAAGTTCCCCATTTTTATTTCAATCTGGAACAAGAAAATGAAATTTAAAATTCTAGGCATGTTTCAAAACAGTTGGTGATTTTCTCTTGAGCATTACAATGCAAAAACATTCGGCATTGTTTAATTAGACCTCGAAGCACTTGTTTTCTGAGCACTTTTTATTTCATCGTTGTTTGTCATCACATAAATAATACACAAATATTTACTACAAGCCTGGTGCAAGGCTGTCTCCCTCTGTTGTACAGATCTATATTTCCAGAGCTTTCTCTGTTGATGAAAAAGCTGAAGTAATTACATCTTAAACATCACCATACTTTGTCAGTCCTTCATATTGAGTTTAGGTTTCTTAAATTACTCTGCCTTAACAAGCATGCCTTCCAACACCCACGTCGCTGGTATTCTGGTAGCTCTCAACCCCAGCGAGACCACTGAGCTGCTTCTGGAGCTGGAGCCTGGCTCAGGTGCCTCTGCACCACGTTGAAATTTATCGTGTGAGCATGTCTTAAGAAACAGGCCCCAATCCCAGTCAGTTACCCGCTAAACAAGACTGGCCAGGTACAAGATGAAAGCGTTGTTCCCCCTTATTTTGCAGACAGGAGAATTAAGTTTGGATCCGTGGTCACGACCTTGACAGGAGAGGTGTCGATGCGGCCCAAGCCAAGTGCACGCATGCTTTGCTGGAGGAGAACCAAAGCAGTTTGGCTGTGGTCACACAGAAAACCTGACAAAATATGAGAATAAGTCCCCACCCACTTCCAAGCTGGCACTCAACCCACAGGACCATCCTCCGACATCTAAGCCTGAGGATTTGGCCTAAGTCCAGAAGAAACAGGACAGATATTGCACTGATGGTCTCATGCTCTGATTTGGGGGAACTGTCCCTTCTTGCTGCATGAGTGCCTGTGTCTCTGTGCCTGCTCACTTGCATGCTCCGCTGCAGCACTGCTGGAGCTGCTGGCCCCGATGGCCCCATGTAGCCTTTTTCTCCTATGTGTGATTGTTTCATGAAGACTGATAAGAGATAACTCAGGGGCTTTGCTACCAAAGGAAAACCTGAGTGCCTGAGGGTAGGATGTGTTTCTCTGCTTTGTTTCCTCTTACAGCTAAATTAGAAAGGCCTGATGGGTGATGTTTTGTATAACAATGATGACGGTGATATACAAAACCAATTTTACAAAACCTCCTAATTGCAAAAAACTCCAATTAAAGTCATTGGGGTGTCTGCTCAATTCCAGTTCCCTTTGGATCCGTTGCAGGCGTAGGGGTTGTTTGTGCAGCCTGATGTGCGGGTTTAGAGCCTGGTAAGAAGGCAGTGTACAGAGCAGGGGGGGTTGCAGTCACCACGGCGGGTTTTATTTTACCTTATTAGCAGGGCAGTATGTAAGTTACGTGACAAGTAGATGCAGAATTCAACTGTGAACTTGCCCACTACTAATAATCTGTCTCTTGGAGTCATCAGGGACAAAGTGAAGCTTCAAAGAGCATTTGAGGTACTTGGGATATTCTCCATGTGGAAGAGATTATGGAGGAAAATTGCACTTATTTATGGCCTAGGCTAAAATCCGTGGTCAGGATGAGTGGAGTGAGGTGATGGTATACGCAAGAAGCACGACAGGGCAGAACACCCATGGGACCTCTGGGAGGGACGCGGTATAATGCACCAGGAAAGAGGGATGTGAAGAAGGAAGTGACATGTTCTGTCTGAAGGGAGATCATTTCTGTGGATAGAGGGGGCCAGGCAAAAAGAGAATACTCATTTATCTTGATTAATGGTAGCATGGCTGACTTGTTTAACCTGCAGAAAAAAGCAGTCACACATAATGCACTAGAATTTAAAACTAAAAGCAATGAGCTTTAATTCTGTCTGTTCTGTATGTGGACCTTGGCCAGGAGTGGGTTTTCAAACTAGGTATCTTGGTTCAAGTTCGGGTTCTGATTTAGCAGGTACACATCCAGTTAGCTTGCGTGGGAGCTGTCTGCCTTTGCCCCAGGAAGGAGTCTGGTCTGGTTTTTTGTCAGCAGTATCAACTGCTTTCATACAGCATTCCCATACTTTTACCCAATGTAGTTCTAACTTTACAGGAACATGATGTCCATTTATAGAGGGTGAACCAGATACACTGGCCTTGAACTTTCAATTGTTCTCCTGGTTTTGAAACACAACATTTAAACATCCTCATGTATCAAAAGAGCTAAAAATTATTGTGACTTTTCATATGACAGATATTTCAGGGAGCAGGTTAGATGTCTCTTTGTAACTTCCACTTTTTTTTTTTTCTTATCTTCTTGGTTTCAAAAAGCAAGTTATTCTGTGCTACTTTCACTACATTAGTCCAACAACTGTTAAAAAGCTTTGGTTGAATTTCTGTTTAGTTGAGAGAGAAGTACAAATAAAAGAAGCAGCAGATGGTCCCTTTGTGACTGCATGAAGAAAAAGGGTTTTGAGAACAATATGTGAATAGGTGTAGTCTAATAAAACAGTCAGCCACCTGCTGCCTACATCCTTCAGAAAGATTCTGTTGCATATTCTCGGAATTAACGACTATGTGTATCCTTACGTTTAATCTAAATGGAAGCTCTAAGGAGCAAACAGACCTTTTTGCCCCAGTGCTGATTGAGTTGTTCTCTTGGTTTTGAATTGTTTCTGCTCTGTCCCTTTTAGTTCCATCCTGTGACTGTGTAATAGTGAACGACGATTTGTCAGTGTTTCATTTCTCGAACCAAAGCAAGATTTTAAAGCTTAAGAAGCACCTACACATTTTTTTTCCTATTTTAATTTTGATAACCTAAAGTACACCTGGAAAAGAAGTATTCTACCATTTCACGGTACCCACTGGGGGATTTTTAATCCACCCAACCTGTTGCTTGGTTTCTGTACGTTGTAATGTACTTGCTTTCTCCTCTAGGGATTTACTCTTCAGCCTGATTATCAGAATATCATCAATCCAACATCAACAGCTGCACAAGTTGTTACCCAGGCAATGGAGTATGTTCGTTCAGGGTGCAGAAATCCTCCAGCACAGACTGTGGACTGGAATAACGACTACTGCAGTAATGGGTAAGCAGCCAGTGAATGCCACCTTGTGTTGAACAACATTCACGACACAAGGATCTGATGGAGAATTTGGAAACGGCTCGGTTGCCTGTTTCCCTACGGTATTTCAGAAGTGCATCCGTGATGGCACAGCAGTTAGGCTGTTGCGGGAGAACGAGTTTTTGATGCATACGGTTATTAGACATTGTTGTCACCTTATCACAGCCCATACACTTTGGTCTTAGAGAACTTCCATTCCTTAGAAAATCAAGACTGAAATCTTAGGGAGAAGGTGTAGGAAAGAAGTTTGAAGACCACTGCCTCCTGCTTGAGAGGCAAATGGCATGAACTATTTTCTCCAAAGACTCCACTGAGGAGCAGAGCTTGCTGCCAGTGAAAACAACTAGCTTGGGTCATGAGATGCTGGGGTGATGCATGGAATACGCGATCCAAGGCAGGGAATGGCACGGGGATCACATGACTGTAACCAGAAATGAACCGCCGTACCTGCAGGAGCTCTGAGCCCCTGCCATAAGGTTAGTAGCCCCTTCAAGCCATCGACTCCTCTGTGGCGTGTTTTTTATGGAGCCATGTTACTGTCCCAGGAACTGCCTGGAAACATTTAAGACCCTGGACAGAAGGTATCTTTTGAGTTTTAAGTGATAGATGTTGTGCCTTGTGAACATGCCCACCAGTCTGACCTCCCCTGCACCTTGGCATGAATCCCCAAGGTAGAGGCAGATAAAAGCTTTTGGTTGCTGACAAAGTGTCAGATCTAGCCCAGACGAATGAACGGAAAGCAGAATTAAAGACCAGTTTCACCCATTACATTTACTCAAACTGAGAATTTCACTTGCATTATTGTTTTAAAGTGTTTCTGGAACTCGAACTAGAACTGAACACAAATCTTTTTCCGGTTACAAGTTCAGAATAACACCTTGACTAGAACCTGCTGATGCTGAGGCAGGCTTTAACCAGTCTGCACAGCAGCATCACTTTCCCCCGTACCTATCAGCTCTGCCCCGTCCATGACTTGCCCACTTGTTCAGCAGAAAGGTCTCGCTTCTGTGCCGTACCACCACCAGGTCTTGATCTGTGCTGCAGCCCCTTGCAGGAGCCTACCCAACCTGCTGACTTTATAGCCACTTACACTGAGCTCTGAAGAGCCTGTCCTCTGTCAAACAGGCCACAGCCACCTGTGGCTTTGATTCCCAGCCTTTTCTGGAAGAAGCAACGTGTGATCATTCCCAGCAGTGTCCTCTAGGTGCCCACTGGGCATGACTTTGTGGCAGCAGAAGCTTTCTCTCAGCACACCCTGTATATACCCTGCGTAGACACCTCTTTGTGAACCTGTGCATGTGGACTTCACCTGTCTTTGCTGTAGCATTGGCCTAAACTGTCCATGCAGTGTCACTTGCTCTGTGCTGCTCTTGGACTCCAAACCAAGTAAGCTGTGGAAGAACAGAACTGGTGCCTGGGTTTTGGCAAGGAAGCAGAAGATGGAGAGTAAAGCCTCTCTCCCAGAAAATCTCTGCAGTGCGAACCAAGCCCTATCAGTGATGCTGCTTCTGCTTTAAATGATGTATTTTTTTCTGACTTCTACAGACTGTTCCACATAGAAACTGGACTCCTTTTTGCTCTGAACTGGTATGCTTCAGTTGAAGCTAAAACCCAGCCAGAACTGAATGTAGAAGTGTGAGGCATTGGTGGAAGGTCTCCTGTAGAGCCTGGTCTCTAGTAGAGAGTTGGTCTAGTTGGCTCTGCCAGAAGCTTCTGGTGTTCCCTTGCACGTGCTCACCCGAACCTGCCAACCCAACACATTCTGGCTGTGTCTGTACTTGTAAATCAGACAGGCCAGAGACATCAGCGGTTGGCACCCACGTTCACGTAACTGAGCTCTCCTGCCCTCTGAGGAAGTGGCCACACCGTACGGGGAGCTGATGGAGCACCGTCCCCAGAGCTGTGCTAAACCTGGAGCTGTACCTCTGCGGTGAGAGAAGAGGGATCGTCAGTGCCACCAGCCCCCTAGGGCAGGTGATCCCAAGCCAGAGCTCAAGCCCACGTCCCAGTCCTGTGTGGTTTAGAGCCAGGCAGGGTCTCCAGGTTGCTACACACCGCTACGGCACTGGGATTTTTCTGGTTGTTAGCATGGAAATGTCGCCGTACATCACTGATATGCTTGGAATTAATGGCATGCAGTAGGGTTGTGGGGGGTTCTTTCGGAGAATAGGACTAGAAATTTGACAATTTCTTTAAAAAATCACATTTGTTCTTTTTCTCTTTGAACAGGGGCATGCAGAGGGACAAAGCGCTCTACCTTACCTGAAAATCTGAAACACCTCTCCTTTCCACTGAGGAATGCAGGGAAGTCTTTTCATCATGGATTGCTTTATGCAGTCAAGGCAGTTCTGCATTTTGTTAGGAAATACAAGTTGCTAAGCACTTAGGACTATTCGAGCTTGTGGGTCACCCACTCTGGAAAAAATAGTCTTGCTTCTTTCTTTTTCTTTTTTTTTTTCCCCCCCATTTTTTTCTCTTTCTTTCTCCTTTCCACCCCTACCCTGAGATCCTTTAACGGACATTGCTTTTCTTCTTCCCTGAAGGAAACTTGGACCATTCAGATTTTATGTTGGTTTTTGCTGTGAAGTGCTGCGATAGTAACTGCCTTAGCAACTGTAGATGTCTCGGATAAAAGTCCTGGATTTTCCATTGGTTTTTCATAATGGGTGTTTATATGAAACTACTAAAGACTTTTTAAATGGCTTGATGTAGCAGTCATAGCAAGTTTGTAAATAGCATCTATGTTACACTCTCCTAGAGTATAAAATGTGAATGTTTTTGTAGCTAATTGTAATTGAAACTGGCTCATTCCAGTTTATTGATTTCACAATAAGGGTTAAATTGGCAAACATTCATATTTTTACTTCGTTTTTAAACAACTGACTAATAGTTCTATATTTTCAAAGTATCTGGAGAAAAAAAAATAAACTATTCCCAAATGATAGTAATTAAAAATATTGGCTTTGTCTGATTTATATTTTCAAAGTATCTGGAGAAAAAAAAAATAAACTATTCCCAAATGATATTAATTAAAAATATTGGCTTTGTCTGAAGAAATGAACACAAAAAGCTAGGAAAAAAACTAATGTTGATAAAGAGCAAACACATTTATTTTGTACTGCCTAAAAAATGCTTCTTTTTTTTTAAAGAAAATCACTTTATGTGTACTGGTTAGTAAATGTCATTTAAGTCCGTTTATGTATAAAACTGCCAAATGCTTACCTGATATTTTATTAGATGCAGAAACAGATTGGAGACAGCTAAATTATAACCTTTACATATGCCTATGTATTATTGTTTCTTCATACTGTGTCTGTATTTAATCTTTTTTATGGAACCTGTTGCGCCTATTTATGAAATAATAAATATAGGTGTTTGTAAGTAAATTTGTTAGCATTTTAAAGAGGTTTCTTTGACGCTTTAACTTTTGCTGGCACAAATTGTTCACAACTGATGTGAATACTTTATTTAGTTTCTACAGTGATATATTATAACACCAAACCTGCTTTACTGGCAGAAAATGAAGGTAATCAATACTTATTTCTGTATTTCTTTGGTTGTTAAGAGGAAAAAAAAAAAAGGTATTTTAAATCATTCCCTTTTCAAAGCATTGTAGCAGGAAGTTGCCCAAAACTAAGACTTGATCCAACAAAGCTTACTGAATAGAACTCCATAATGCTGCTTCTTGAAACTTCATCACTTTTGGTTAATTAATCAGCTGGAATAAAAATATTACCAAATATGCTTCAGCCATTTTATTATACATGTGAAAGGTCCTACAGAGTTTGAGGGCGTGTATCACAAATACATCCT